ATTTAGTATTGCCATGTTAATTTTGTTCTTACTGTTTCCTTTAAGTCATATTTTGTTTTGCTTGTTAGGTACAAGTATAAAAACACTTATTCTTCGTTGCCTAGACTGGGGGCACTTCAAGGATTGGAGACAAAGACATCTAAAAACAAAGAGGGGGGAAAAATACTGAGGGGTAAATATGATAAAGATGAAAATTAGGGAAAAAGAAATTGAGAAACTGGAAAAATACATATAGATGTAGAGACAAAAAACGTCTACATCTTAGAAGGCTTACGGATACAGATGTAAGATATTTATTTTACATTTTTTCCTGTGTTTATTTCCCTGAAAAAAATTGTGGTGTTGAGAAATTTTCAAGTACATATAAGCCAGCAAGGCTGGGTGAGAGTCTTCAAACCAAAGGTAACATGGCATCAGTTTGTCTTCAGATATCTGTTGCTAAAATGGTCATTTGTCTCTAGACTGTGCTTGATTCAAAGGAGATACTAATGGTTGATGTTCTGTTTCTTATAGTGCACAATAGAATTTTATATTATTATCAGATACTAATATTTAGCATTTACATAGAATTTTCCTGCACTAAATGTTTTACAAATACTGTCTAATCATTTCAGTTCCTTTCATGGACTGTATACTACTGTAGCTGTTTTGTAGATGGGGAAACTGCAGCTGATTGAATTGCTGGAGGCAATGTAATAAGTGCTATTGTCAGTAGCAGCACTTAGTGCTCAGGCTGTGGGGCTTTGTATTTGTATTCAACTCATCTTCCTGATTATTTTGTAGTGTACCTTTTTGCATTGATGTGATGCAATATTGACAATACTCATTGATATTAAGGGTCAGCTCTGCAGTTTGCAGCTCTTTCTTTGCCAGGGAATGAAGAATACAAAGTGGCAGCTATTTAGCTGGTAGAGTCCCAGGGTTATCCAAAATGCACAGCATAGAAGCTGTATTTCCTAACAAGTATCATTTGCTGATAAAGGAATTGATGTCTGCAGTTAGATAACTACGTGCTTCTGGAATTACATAGACTGGAATGAGATATGCAGTCATTACATTGCAACATATATTTTATATTATCAGATGTATATAACTATTTCTTTGTTCAAACACCGACAGCAAGACATCCTAAAGCACACTGGAGCTCAAGATCTCCAGGTTTTTCACAGATGTAAGGATTTCTTTGTGTTTGTTTTTTTTTTTTGTTTTGTTTTTTTTTTCCAGTTAGTGAAGGGAAGCAAAGATTTCTCTACTGAAAATTAATGTGCTTCTTAAACTAAAGTGCTTACTGAATTTCACATATTGATTCTGAGTGAGTGAAATAATACTTCAATTTTATTTACTTTCTGGCAGGAAATTGTGGTGTAGTATTTTCCAGAGAATGGCTTTCCTGCATATTGTCCTGATCACCTCCCTTTGTTGGAACATGAATAACCACATCAAAGCACTAGGCATTTGATTCAGTGCTGTCTATATGTCCCTGATCTTCTTAAAGTTCTCCAGAAGGGTGGGTTTACCCAGTAGTGTCCCAGTGAAGCCTGAAGAGATGTGGCACAAAGTTCAATGAGCTTTGTGTTACTTTGAGTGTGTGCCAATTACTGTACAACCAGCCCGTCTTCAATAATATCAACAGCATTCTGCACAGCAACTGGGGGAAGATGGGGTGCTCAAATTGGAATCTAATTGAAAATATGTTTTTTTTTCTTTTTCCTTTTGTTTCTTGTCTTTATTTTTCTTCCTTTCTTTCTGTTGTGCTGAGTATTATGAGCAAGTTGGAACGAGACTGATGCACATTCCTTTGGCTTTTAAGTTATTGGTGTAACATATTTGGTTCCATTTCAGCTTTACATTAAAATGGAGTCAAGAATTAGTAGCAGTTCACTGCAAAATCAGCAATTTTGATCTCTGGTTTAATTACAGAACATGAAAGGATTGGTTATTTCGGATATAACTAACTGCAACCACTTACTTAACAAGGTAGGCTATTAATTTGATAAATTTCTGAAATTTGAGGCAGCTCTGCATTTTGAAAGGCGTTTGTGCAGTTCTTTTGATTCAATAATACTCAACATCCAGGTTATTTTAAGTTCCGGTGCGAATATGTGCATGGCTTTTATTTTCCATTTGAGATACTGTACGGTATTGCTGCTTCACAGCAAGTTGAATGTGAGCCAGCAGTGTGCCCAAAGTGCCAACCATACCCTGCAGTACACCAGGCCCAGCACTGCTGCCAGCTGAGGGGAAGGGTTGTCCCCTCTGCGCTGTGTGGCTGCACCTCCAGCACTGGGCGCGGGTTTGGGTGCCACAACATAAGAAGGATGTAACAGAGAACGTCCAAAGGAGGGCTGTGAGGGTGGGGAAGGAACTGGAGGGAGAGGTGTAAGAGGAGCACTGAGGTACTTTTGATTGTTCAGCCCAGAGCAGAGGAGGCTGAGGGAAGGGCTGCATGCTCGTCACTGCTGAGCTCTGCTCTCTGTGATAGCAACAGGGCCTGAGGGAATGGCATGGAGCTGTCAGGGGAGAGGCAGCTGGGAGTTAGGAGAAGTTTCTTTACTAGAGGGTGATGAGCCTGGAACAGGCTGCCCAGGGCGGTGATCACAGCCCCAGATGCTGGAGTTAAGGAGCGCTGGGACAGCACACTCAGACATAGGGTCTGAATTTTGGGTGGTGCTGTGTGGAGTCAGGAGCTGGACACCATGAGCCTTGCGGGTCCCTTCCAACTTGGGATATTCTCTGGTTCTGACTCTGTGAGTGCTATGGACAACCAATATAAATCTCCCTCAAAAAAAATGTAAAGAAATCACACAAAAAAACCCACATATTTTATTTATTGCTTATTCACAATCTTTTGTTTGTTTGTTTTTCTTTGTAATTTGGTTATTTTAGAAAATATGCCAAAATAAGTCATCACTATTTTTAAAAAGAGACTTTTATAAAAGTTAAAAGAACAGATTTATGCAATTGTTAACATTCTCTGACCATGGTGTCAAATACTTGGTTTCATCAGCTATTTTCAGAAATCTGTTCTCATACTTTCCAGCTTCTTTTATCAAAGTAAGTTAACCGACACGGTTCACAGAAGGCCAGAAGGCCAAAAATATGTAAAATGGTTTTTTGAAGACAGGAAAAGTTAAACCCATGAACTTAGGAAATGCGTAGACAGGAAAATAGAAACTAGTGATGAAACCTTTGTCCATGCTGCTTGCTCTCTGTTTACATATAATTACAGAAATTCACTGCAGATTGTAACATATTTTATAATTTGAATATGTATGTGCTTTTACACTCACTTTATCTAGTGAAGCTTTTTTTCACAGTACTGTTTAGTTTAACTCGGGAAAGAGTGGCAGTGATATTGGATAAGAAGTCTAAATTCTACATTTCTTGGTTTTTGTTTTTGTTTTTGTTTTTTTCTTTTAAAAAGATGTTATTTATCATATTCCCAATTCTAATTGAAGTATTTCTAAAAGTCCAAATATTCTGTAAAGAGAATGTTACTGAAAGTGTTGATAAAACATTGTAATTATTTCCTTAGTTCTTTAACCAAACAAAGGACTACCTAATGCTTAACTTTCATTATGTAACATCACCTTGTAATGTTGCCTACATGACTAGCATATATTTGGGGAATTTATACTGCTTAGTTATTAAACTACCTGCAGTAAGTAGTTGACCAATTATGCTGGCTACATAGACTTCACCCCCCTCTCAACCCCCTCACAATTTACTAACTTAATAGGTGAAGTAAATACCATAACTACAAATTTCTTTAAAGATAACTATATGAGCAGGGCATTTCACTCTAAAATGGAAGCAGTGCAACAAGTTACTTTTGCTGAAACTAAACTGGTATTCAAAGAAAGGATAGCTCTCCTAACAAAAAGATACATTCAATATTAGTGTGGAAGGTGTATAATGAGGAAGTCCTCCATGCAAAATCCTTAATAAAGCCATTACTTCTTTCTTCCATTAACTCAACTTTAATCTTGGACTTGCCTACTGTCCATGACTTTTTGAAGCAGACTGCTTCCCACTTCTAAAACTGGAAGATAAAATGACAGTAACTCCTAATCAACAGTTTGGGAGCCAACTCACAACACAGGAAAAGCTTCATTGGTGAATTTATTCAGTTACAGAGTAATTATGCACCACTTATAGTACCTACCCAGACTGTCTCTGGGCCTTTTCATGCATTGTTCTATCACCTGGTATAAAATTATTAATAGAAAATCTAGAAAATGTCATCCAGTTGTATTCTAGGCTACTTTCCAAAAAGATGGGTGCCTTACACCTGTGCAAAAGGATACTGAAATTTCTAAAGTCAGAATAGAGGAAAATTATACTGATGAGGTAGTATGCAAGAAACAGATGAAAGTCCTCACTGCCACAAAGCCATTTATAGTAGAGAAGGAAAAAAAAAGAAGAAAAAAAAAAAGAGTGAAAGAGAGATTGTGAGCAGTGGGAATTTGTATGTCTACTGAGAATTCTTAAAAGCACAGATGAAAAGCCCTGAACAGAAGAGCATGCAAGAAGTGAGCAAGTAAAATTCTTGCAAAGTGAAAAGAGTAAATAATCTGCAGGTACTAGAAAAGGTGTAGAGTGAGACAGGAGAGGAAGCTTCTGCTTAGCTGATCACTGCTAGGATGTGCTTTACATACTTTTCTTGTGGTAGAGGTAGTAAAAAGAGAAAGGGGAAATGAAACAAAGTCCACAGTGACCACTAAGGTGAGTCTTTAGTATACGCAAAGAAAACTACCTCTGTCTCATAATTTTTTTCTTCACTGGGAGAACTCTGTTATCTGCTACAGACTGAACAGACCACAGTTTTCCTCCCCATCCATTTCATGATGTCAGTAACCAGAAGTTATACCTATTTTTTTGTTCTATTTGAGTATTAGGTTTTATTTGCGTGTGACTATGAAGTTCAGCAGTTAGTAAACCAATATCTATCTTAAAAGTCTACTTTTCATATTATCTCATGTGGGCATTGTGAAGGTAACATTTCTACACAATATGTTCATTTTTTTAAATTTTAATGAAGACATGTATGAAAAACAGGACAGTATGACAACTTCTTATTTTCCATCTAAAACCTACCTACTTGCAAATGCTCAAGGAATTTCTCCTCCTTGTCAGAAAATATCATCTTAAAGGACATAATTTCAATGAAAACCAATGCTATTTATTAATTAATTTTACACACATATTGCTATCTAATTTACTGTTATTTATTGACTCGACATCATGTTTGGTGCTTTGAAATCTGGGTTCAGAAAACAACTATTAATTGGTGCACAAATAGTTACATTTCTTAATTTTTTTAATTTCTTAAATAATACTTAGCAGTAACATAATGTAATACAGAAAAGAAAGCTGTTAGAATATTTACTTAGATGCCTTTCCAAGAGCAAATGGGATACAGCGTTCTTCAAGAAAACCATGTTTGTTCTAAAATTCAGCCAACTTCAACAATGTCAAAATTTTACCTACACTGGTAAAAAGTGTAAGGCAGAATTATCAGTCTTCTTTCATTTCATACATTTGATCACTCCACTTTCTTAACCATATTCACAAAGACAAAAGATCTGTGTACAGAGATTTATTTTTCATTTATTCACTTCTCATGCATATGAATTACGCACTGTTGCTTCTAAAAAAATTTTTACAAAATCACTTTGTCAGACCCATACAAAATACAAAGGTTTTAGGACTGTGCTGCATGAATATGACAGTGATGCAATGATTTGCAAACAGGTTCTAGGCATTTTGAAGAAAGAATTTCAACAGTCTGGGTTTTGAATCTACTTTATGCAAAATAAAAATGAAGCTATGCATGTGATCAGTCTGGGAAAATACTGTATTTTTAGGTCATCCAATTTCAGAGAAGACCTTTTGTAAAAACTATATTCTGAAAACCCTCCTTATTTATTTTACAGTATGTACATATACACAGCCTGACTTATTTTAGTGCATATTTTTATATGAAATAATCAACATTCTTTTACAGAATGTAACCAAAGCTAGAAAATCTGCCATGCTTGATCTACGTGTTCTGCACTTTGATGTTCCTCATGTCTTTTAGCAGCATGGGTCTGTAGAGCAGCTCCAAGCTTTCCATGTATTCTAAATAATCAGTCACTCGAAATCCATGGAGTGCTTCTTCCTGCACAAACAGACACAGAAAATTAGCTGAGAAAAAAAATATACATTATTAAAATTTAAAGAATTACAGGCTGCTAAAGAGAGTTAATTTTCTACTGCTTACAGTACAATACACACATTTTAATACATTTAATTTAAAAATTAAGCATATCTGCTCCCGGACAGTACTTTCCAATTAACCTCGTGGAAACAAATGTTATTCATCTTATTTTTGGAGAGCATGAGATATAATGATTTATAATGAAAACAAAGTGAGCTTTAAAAAAGCAAAGTCAGGTACTAAAATATTATTTTTAAAGACTTTTATACCTGCACATGGTATAGTGAAGTTTATTAATGTGATTATTAAGTATTATGTGTTTATAAAGTTCTCAATAAAACCAGAAAAGTAATGCTATGTAATATTTTTATAAGCAATAATAAAGATGAATGCTTAAGTAAAAACAGAATAAACACTTCTGCTTGACAAGATAGTCGAGATGGGCTTATTGAGGCAGCAGGTTACAGTGTTCTTGGTTCACATGTGGAAATCATAAAGCTATCCATTTTCATTTCTGGAAAGGATTCAAAAAAGGCCAAGCAATAAATTTAAAATTCAGTTAATGTGGAAACTTCAAGGTACCTCAAAAGGATCAGAACTATGAGTATCCCATCCCAGCCAACAGACAAACCCAGAAAAGAGAAAAATGTGTTCACTGACAATTCATTATTTGTACTTTCTTCTAGGCATAGAGTTGCAGAGTAACAGAAATGATCTTTATGAGTTTTTCATCTGTATTTTGTCACTAGGAGAACATGTTAAAAGCACTCACTCTTTCAAGTGTCAGGCATAACTGTCTGAATTGACAGCAAAGTTGTCTCCAAGTTCTTTAAGTGCAAACGAAAGTACATTTATATTTTAAAAATAAAATAATTGTTTTTAATTTTATTAGCTAGCTGTAACTAGCTCTTCTCGGAAAGAGTGGTCAGGCACTGAAATGGGCTGCCCAGGCAAGGTGGTTGAGTCACTGTCCCTGGAGGTGTTCAAGAATCGTGTACATGTGGTACTAAGGAGCATATGGGACATGGTTTAGTGGGCAATATTGGTGGTAGGTGGATGGCTGGACTGGATGATCTTGGAGGTCTTTTCCAGCTTTAATGATTGTATGATTCTACGATTCCACTCATTAGGTAATAGCAACGATAGTGAACTGCTGTCAAATAATCTTTTCGTGACATATAATGCACGTGAGACACTTAAGAACAAATTACTATCAGTTCTTGTAAGGAAAACAGGCAAATGAACCTGTTCATAGACCAAATGATCACTGCTAGTATGAAGTTCAAGCTGCAACATTGCTTAAGAAAACATAAAATTAATACTCAAGGGGTGTGTTTTTCGTTTTTGAAACTTGGTTTATTCTCCTAGAGTAGTTTAAATTTCCACTTATGAGGGAATTGTTCCACTAGAATAATCAAAATTTGTGAATGTTGTGCTGAGAGATTACAGGCTAAGACTTAAACCTACATTTGCGTATTTCAACAAAAAGATAGTTCTCTAATTCCTCCACAAGTATTAAACCCAGGTAAGCCCATACTGAAATACATACTACATCTGGAATTGAATAAAATGACAGAGTAATTTTTTTCTTCTTGAAATAAATTAAGAAGTATCAAAAGCAAGAGTATAATGAAACTATATCAATAACTCTTCTTTTTCTGCAATTCTCTCATTGGGTTGTAAATACTCCAGTACTACATTAATATAGGGTACTTCTCATTAATTCAACAGCACCCTGACAAATCTCTAGCCTGTTCACATTACAGGTGACAGCATGCAAACTGTATTATATAATTTACATCAACTATGCTGGTTAATGCCAACAAGATTAAGTTGTTTTTAAGCTTGTACATTGATCAAAAACAGTCAAACAAAATGATGTACTCATTAGACTGTATACCAAACATTTTTAAGAAAAATGACTTAGTTGATGTATTATTCATATTCAGAATACTTTGGTTGGAAGGTATCTACAAAGATCATCCAGTCCAACTGCCTGACACTTCAAGCATGTTACAGAGGGCATTGTCCAAATGCTTCCTGAATGCAAACAGACATGAGGCATCAATTACCTCTCTAGGAAGCCTAGATCCAGCATTTGACCACCCTCATGGTAGAAGAGTTTCCTCTGTAAACTTCACCTAGCTCAGCTTTCTGCTGTTCCTGCCCTGCCAACAATGACCAGGAGCAGAGCACAGCACCTCCCCCTGCTTTCCCACCTTGGGGAGCTGCAGAGAGCAATGAGGTCAGCTCTTCTCCAGACTGGATAACCCTATGTCCTCAGCCTCTCCTCACAGGAGATACCATCCAGCCCTGCATGAGCTTTGTTGCCCTCTTCCAGATGCATTCAAGTACCTTAATATCACTCAATATTTAAAAACATAAGATGTATGCCAATCAGAAGACTATGATGCAGACACATAGTTCTTAAAATAACTTTGGAGAAAAAAAACAAAAAGGTAAAAGAAAACTCAGAATATCTCAGGAAGAAGACTTCTATCAGCTACTATAATGACAATAAAAGGGAAATTTTGAAATATAGTACTTATGACGACACTAAATTTATGAATTACTTCGGTCAGTAAGTGACAACATTGTTCACGGGAGATGGAGAACCTCCTTTCTCAGCCATCTCAATCATCTGTAGGAAATGTATGGAGTCTTGTGTCATTCAGAACATAAGCATATTTCTTTTATTATATTCTGCACGTAAATCTGCCTGTCATGTTTTTCTTTTTAAAAAAAAAGCAGAATAGTTCTCACTTTATATATTCAGCTTTTTTTTTTTTCTCCTGGTTTAACAACTGCATCCACCAATGCAGCTTAGTTCAGCTTGATTCTTTAAGTATCATTTAAGAAACAGGCAGAAAATAACTGCTTTAGATTAAGAAGTATATTAATTTCCAGTACAGAGAACTTTGTTTCCCTTAAGCAATTGGAAAAAAAAAAATCACAAAGAAATCCTTACTTTAAGAAAAACCTGGAGATCTTGGGCTTCAGTGTGCTTCAGGATGTCTTGCTGTAGGTGTCTGAACACAGAAATACACATATAAACCTGATAGTCAGGACCGAGGAAAATACACGTAGCGATGTAATGACAGATCTCACTCCAGTCCATGTAATTCCAGAAACACTGAGTTATCCATTGTAGACAAATCTAGATGACAATGAAATTATATATAATTATATCACTCTAGACATTCAGTCTAGATAATTAATCAGCACTATCTTCTAACTTTTCTATACTACAGCCTTTTTCTCCTATAACATTAGCCTACTTATTAAAGGAAAAGGGATGAAAATACAGAAGAGGATGAGAATCATTATATTTGTTTGTTTATTTTTAAATCACAGACTCAAACAGCATTTCACTATTATATTCTTCTTACTTTGGAACAGAAATAAGCTCTCTTATTATGGTGAGAGAGCTATGCATTAGCAATCTAATTCTTTGCACAAAACAGTTTATGCTCATCATGATTGTAGTCTACACAATGCTCCATAAATTATATTCTATATTTTTAAAGCAATACTTATTGTAGTAAGCAGGAAAAAGTTAACATTATAGATAAATTCTCTAGTGACATCTCATCAGTATAAAAGAGTTTTGTTTTTTAACCTGACTACAAAAGTAGCCTTTATAAGATGAATTTTGCTTTAATATCAACTGAACTGCTTTCTACCCCAAATATTTCACTTCCTTCCATGGAAAACACGGAAAATTATTCTGAGGGATAAGATATTCTAATTATTTTTAATGATACGTAGGAGTTTCTAGTATCTCACCTTTATCAGATTTTCTGGATGAATATGTAATGGAAGATCATTAGCTGCAGTACATTTTACAAAAGTCAGCTGAAATTATGTTAAAATACTCTAAGTCACTATACATTCAACATTCTCTCATGCTGTTTCGTAAACACCACACAAGTGCTGCACAGAAAAAAAAAAAAAAAGCACTAATTCCAACTTAAATTATGAATTTCTTTGATTTTGTGGATTTATTCCATAAGAGAAGTTGACGATACCTTGTTACATCATCATTTACCTGGGATGGAGTAAAACCAGACATGTGGAAGGCAGAGAAGACAAGTGGCAACTCAGCTTTCAGCAACATCTCAATGTAGTGAGCACTGCAAAAGTAGACTGGATGGATGCCAGATTCCACTGTGGTAATAGGCAGGTGCATCTAATTAAAAACAACATTGAGAAAAAAAGAACAGATCACAGAAATGTATAACTGTAAAATGCCTTTCTGAGAATAATGTATAAGAATATATGAAATTACTCGTATGATAAGTTATCTCAATTATTTTAGAGGTAAGAAATAAAATTAAAAAATAGAGAAAAAGATGACGTTATCAGCTAGAAAAACATGTTGTTAAGCTAAGAAAAATCCAAAGTTAGAAACTCTTATACATCTTGACTACTTGTTTGCATTAACAATTTAAGTCTTTATTGCACATATGCTTTAATTTTCAAAGGTTTGGAGAAAACGTTACTGTATTTTAAACAAATACTAGTTGTTTTTTTTTTTTCCTTTTTACTGGTGGATAAAAAGTGGAAATTCTATAGTATTTACTGTTGATTCCTATATGCATGCTTTTTTTTCAGTAAGCACAGCTGGTGTAAGTGAAATTCTGTTTTGTGCTACAAAAGGAACAGAGGTTAGCCATATATTGTCAGTGTTTGGTTTCTAGCTAATGAATCTTTGCCTAATGCAAGAAGGTTAATATGCATCCTTTGGAGCTTTCCACCCTTCTGAGGCAGGCAACATTACAGCCTAATGGGTGCATAGTACTCATTCATGTTTTGGCATTTTATTTTAATTTACATTGTGAACAATATGCAAATAGGTTAATTATTCAATTTTCTCTTTGTTTCTTCAAGATGTGAAAGAGACATCATTGAGAATGAATGTTAGTACTGCAGCAACCCTGCAATGCTGCTTAGATCTTGTACAGAAGACAAGTTCTTAGTACTAATGATGTTCAGCACGATTATATTCACATAATGGAGCAAAACTGCATTCTGTTAACAGCTTCAAGGCTGGACTCAGTGTTGAGAGTGGACCAATAGAGTTATTTTTCATGAAAAGACTCATCAATTCACATTCACAGAGAACTGCATGGAGAAAAGATGCAAAATACAGAACTCACAGGTAACACATATTTTGTAGTTTATGGTCAAAACATTCAAGCCAATCTGACAATGCACAAAATCAAGCTGAAAGGGTTTTGTTTTACACAGATAATGCCATATCTATTCAAATATTAAAATCATGCTGCCTATACTACAAATTTGATTCAAAAATATTAATAATTTCAAATTATAAAGCATTCAGAATTTGGGCAGTAATAATTTTTCAAAGTAACTAAATATGTTCTAGTGGTTTTATCCATAAAACTGAATTTTACTGAAAAAACTAATGGATGAACTTGCACACTATTAAAAAAAGGTCATTAACACACACACAAAAATGCCATGTAGTCTTCACATCACATTTAATGGTGCTACAAAGTTTACCTTACTGTCATCTTTAAAATTCAGTAACACTGTCTTGCCATCAGTCCACCTGTACTTTCAAACAACCATTTAAGTGAATGTCAAATCTGTATTTTTCTGAGATTTTTTCATGTCACACATTCAGCTAGAGAGCTTTAATGAAAATTTAAAGCAATAAAATAAAATAATAATAAAAAACCCACAACACTTGAGCAAATTGGTGAAATCTCCTTTGAAAAACTTTAAAATTTGCCCTTCAGAAAGAATCAGCTTTTACATTCTTACAGACATATGCAGTCTTGGTATCCAGAGAAACGCTGAAACAAGAAGATGAGAAAACTGCTGAAGAAATGTTAGAGTTTTCTCTCCATCCCCTGACATTATGAGGAACACAGAAGATGCAAACCAGTCATAGCCAGCATAACATCCCTGCAAACAGCCTGCATTTTCTCAGTTAAGGAACTCAAGCAAAGAACTCTGCATTGCCATTCAGGAATTGCAGACCTCCTCCCCCAGGTCCAAACAGAACTAAGAGCTGGTTTGTTATAGATGTTACAGGGGAATAGAACTGCACAGAAAACAGCTTCTAGAGGCACACCTGTCTCTATAGATAAAATAAGAGAATTACTTGAGCTATTTTCCCCATAGTCTACTTTTTTCCAGTCTGTAAGTAACTGAACCAAATCAGCAAAAGAAAAGAAAACCCAAGAGAAATCTCTAAATACAAAACCATTACATCAAAACAAGTGTGCGTACAGTATGGAAACTAAGAATGGTGGAGAAGAGGAGGAAAATGGGAATTGAAAAGATTAAGGGGAAAAAAGAAAAGGGAAAAAAAAAGAAATACTGTCAGAAAAGAGTTTAATTATACTGTGACCAATGTGCCTGAAGTGTACTTCAAAAGTTAAATTAAGTCTAATGGTTGAAAAAAAAAGCTTATTGGAAAGGGTTATCTTTGTTATGACTTCTGACATTTTTAGATCTTCTATGGAACATTTTTTTTAATAAAACATTCTTGCTGATCAAATTACAGGCACAGATATTACACAAAAAATATCAATAACACTGTAGAAATTGTGGAAACACCACAAGTATTTATTAATGCTCAAAGGTGTTTTGTTCCAGACTCCTTACCACAGATGGAAAGATGTGTAACAAAATGAATGAGACAATTTTAACAAAAAAAGGAACAGACGGCAAAAGATTTTATAGTGCATTGAGTGTGCATTTTAACATTTTTAAATCTGTGTTTTTTCTGTTCATGCAATATTTATTACACATACATCAAAAGCCCAGATTGAGTGTTCAAATTCTACTGCCAATAAGAAAGGATACGAAGTGAGGATACCACAGCTCTCTGCTGTTGTTTCAGAAACTGCTCACAATTCATTAACACGAAGCACAGCTCATTTTCAGCATGTTCTTTTAGCAAGTTCAGGTGTTTTCCATATCTAACACAGAAAGTTAAAAACTGAAATTTAGATTAAATACATTTTTAAAATTCTAAAACAAAACCAAGAACTCTTATTTAATAGGCCTGTAAAAGATAAGAAGTCATAGCACTGATCATCAAAAACAGGATACAGTAGATGAATAAAAATGGTTTAATAAAAGCTACTGTCCTTCATTTAGGAAGGACACACCCCAGACATTTTATACTTGGTGTTAGAATTCCTCACCTAAATTCTGCTTCATTCAAAATTTCAGAAATTGTGGTGGGAAGGAGCAAGAACTCTGATGATATGCTTTCATGATTCACTTTCCTCATGTATATTGTTTAGAATTCCATCTATTTTATAGGTAATTATTGGCACCATAATTAAAATATTAATGCTACAAATAACAACTGTGAAATTGTTAACACATTATCTTTTCCATCATCATAGCTCTGCAATGTACCAGCCAAGCAATACGTGTTCATGACATATAACTAAGCTGAGCTGAACAAAACCCTTCAGAAGGAACGTGAAAAGGAAAAACACATAACTCAAGATAATATAATTTAAGCAGTAAATCTTACTAACAAGTTACAATTAACCTTTGCAACAATCAAAGATAATAAGCTACATAATATGTAAAGATAATTTAATTAGTACTAATAGCTTTTTCATTTTTGAAGTCAGAATTCATTTTCTCAAAAGATAATCTTTAGATTTAGATGGTATTACTTTAACTGAATTAAAGGATTAAATATCATTAAAGTCACCACATGAAAATCAAACAAATTCTAGAAACAGTGGGTAAATATTTTAATGTACCTGACTGTCATTTCAATACCAAGCTGCTGCACCGATGAAAGGTTTTCTTTCTTCACATCTGCATCTATGGCTAAAACAAAAGAAAAAAAATATAATAAAATATTATTAAATATATGATTTTAACTAAATATTAATGTAAAGCTTTTATGTATGAATACCAATTTTGGAGAACTGTTTCATATTCGAAATGAGTTGAATATTGTTTGCAGTGGAAGCATTAAGAAACTGTATTCCTCAGACACTCATTTTTTTTTAATTAAAAGCAGTTTCTTGACAAGAAAATGTCCACTTTTAGTATGTATATATTTTATAAGTTTTAAAGCATGATGAGAACAAACATCTTTTCCGGTCCCATTTCTGGGCAGAGCTTCATACCTTCTTGCCAAGAAATCAGACAATGCAGCATTTTTTATTTGCTTTCTTCTATCCTAGTGGCCTTAAAAGTATTCTACCTGTAAAGCTAAACTTATTAACAAAATTCAACTTTGATATTAATCTATTTATAGTTGGCTGATTTAAAAAATCTTATATTTTCATGAATTTTTCTTTCACACACTGTAGTACAGATCTGTTTCTCATGTCCTTGAACTAAAAAAATGGAGTTAGACAAAAATTAATAAATCATGAAATAAAACAAACTCTGTTAGTAAAATTTTCTCAAAAAAAAAAAAACCCAAAAATTAAATATAAAAGACAGGGTTCTGTCTCATTGTATCCACATCTCAGTGAAGATAACTACACTCCAGAAAAAAATCAATCCAATGATACTATGAGTTAAATTTTGAGGGCTTAAACCTTTAATATAATTCTTTCAGACAAAATATAGTAAAGAAGAAAAAAAAAACTTCAAAAAAATTAAGAAGTCTGATATTGTTAAAAATGTAAACATAATACAGCAGCAAAAGTTAAAATATATTCATGCAAATGATAAATGTGAAAGTCTGATTACCATTAAGAAGATTATGCTTGATATGCATTTTTTCTCTATCTTTCCCATCAGATAGAGAAATTAAATGGAAGGATTCCCTGGCTATCAATTCAGGTAAACACCAGGTTCCTGGTAAACAAACAGGGACTAACGTAAAATATTTACAGGTTAAGGGAAGAAATTAAGCCTCTGATTAGAAAGGTCAAAGAAAACAAACAAACAAAAAAAGATACGTTGATGTTAGGTTTCTTGAATAAAACAATACAACAAAATTATAGTTGACAATGAAGCAATAAATTTGAGCAGAGGAAGTATGATAAGAAAAAAAAAAAAACAGAAAAACAGTACCACAAACTTAATGGAAGATAATGATCTAACTGTTAAGGTCCTGAGAAATTAACCTTTTTCTTTTGACAAAGATGTTTATACATAAGAAAAATCAAGTGAATCTTTCAGTAAGATAAATTTCTTCAAAAAGCTGATAAGTCTGAGATATTAATGGCAAGTCCTTTTTTTTTTTTACCTCAGAAGTTCAATTATTCTATGCATAACCCCTACCACATACTTTACAATATTTGAAAGAATACATATAAAATCACATGCAATGTCAGTGACAATGCTGTGGAGATGTAAAAAGATAAGGAATGTTTCATACAGCTTCTATTCCAAGCTGCCTTTTTACTCAAGCTGCAACTACCATACGAGCAGGCAATTAACTTCCACATTCCTACTTGCAATTGTGAATATCAGAGATATATTATATCCTAGAAGCCATGATAGAAAACAAGGAGGAAATATGAATAAGGATATTATCACTAAATTGCTAATTCAGTCCTGGCATAACCACATTGAATGGCAGAAGAAAAGGAGACAGTATAATAATCCCTGAACTGCAAGTAAGCTCTGTCTCCACTTTGAAGAGATTTCCTCCTGTTGAGTGGAAACGTTGGAGCTAGTACTGGAGTCCAGCAATGGTGTGATAAGGAACAGCCATACAGGAGCACACTATCTGAGCCACTGTTTCCATTCTGTAACAGCTTACAAGAAGCAATGAGTGCTTATTTCTTATTAACATTACAAGAATACAACTGATTTCATTGATCTTTATTGCCTTTTTCTTTTCTCCTCTGTTCTAATAATTCCTCAGTTGCTGAAAAGACTTTTCTTCTTTGATTTTTTTTCCCTTTGATTTTGCCCTGTATTGCGGAAGAAGATAAAATTAACACAGAGTTTGGACTGAATCATTATTTGTTATACAGTAACTCATCAAAGCAAAAACTTGCTTTTGTGCACCAGTGTATGTGATATAAACATAGCTCTGTACTACACAGTTGACTTACTAGTGATTCACAGCTAAAAATATGAACACGTAAACTGTGGTTCTTTCTCCTGTGTCAAAAGTTTTAATTTTCCATTTTGCTTTCCAATTAACAGACTGGAAAGATTAGGACAATTTCCTATTGATGAAAAACTGGACCTAGAAACCTTAAATGCTCCATTAAGCTTAACAAATTATTGTTTTAAGAATAAATATGAAGATATGCATATTGCAATCTGTGGATCAAAAGCTGTCTAGCAAGCTTACAGGAATACATCGTGACTGCACTACTGAAATGATGTTCATGACACTACAGATTTCATTTCACTTTCAACTCATTAGACAGATACTTATTAATACATTTGATAATGAACTCCTAAAAAACAGTGAGTTTCTTAACAAAAGGTATAATGGATGAATTTTCTAAACTAAAATGCCATTTATTGTCAAACAAAGGATAGAACACCTCTCTCAACTGTGAATTTGATAAGAACATGATACAGAACTGTGACTATTATTAAATGGAATTAATATGCACTAGCAACTTCTTTGCATTTAGTGAATGAAACAAATTATATGCTGAAAAGGATTTTAACACTTTCTTTAAAAATTAAAAATACGGCAAAATGGAAATTAATACAAATCAAAACTTTTGATGTGAAGGATGTCAGGATTCCATGCATTTCTTTAGAAGCTGTAAGGCTTTACAATATAAAAATTAGTAATAATAATCAAAAAAGTTTGTTTCATATTCTGAAATGCATTAACTCAACAGCAGTAGGCATGGACAATATTAAAATTTAAACGATTCATTTTGTTTAGCCTTGCAATCACACTTTACATTAGCAACCTACCATGCACCCTTTTAAGAAACTAATCATGATAAATATAGGTATTCCTGTTATCAAAATTGTCTTAGAAATTCATTATTTAATACAATCTTCATTCGAAACAGAAGATGCTTCCCTTGAGACACCAATGACTACAAACTATTAATTGCCAGAGATAACTATGAATAAAAAAACATGAATGCTACACATGAAATAAAAAGGGAGAATATTGTATTTTTCTACAATAAGGAAGTATTTCATCCAATCATAGAATTTTTAAAGTAGGAAGGGACTTTAAAGGTTATCTTGTCAACTGCCCTGCAATGAACAGGGACATTCATAGCTGAATCAGAGTGCTCAGAGCCTAGTCCAGCCTCACATTGAAAGTCACCAGGGATGGGGCATCCACCACACCTCTGGGCAACCCATTCCAGTGCCTCACCACCCTCACTGTAAAAGACTTTTTCCTTACATCCAAGCTGAATCTTCCCTCTTTAAGTTTGAAACCATTTCCTCTCACCACAAACCCTGAAGAGTCTGTCCCATTCTTTTCTGTAGCTCCCATTATATATGGAAAGGTCACTATCAGATCACCTCAAAGCTTTCTTTTCTCCAGGCTGAACAGTCTCAACTCTCTCAGCCTGTCCTTGCAGGGGAGGCTTCCATTCCATGGATTATTTTTGTGGACCTTCTTGGGATGCACTCCAACAGGTCTGTGTCTCTCCTGTACTGAGGACTCCACATCTGAACACAGTGCTCTAGATAAGGCCACAACAGCATACAACAGAGGGACAAGATCACTTCCCTTGACCTGCTGGATGTAGCCCAGAATATAGCTGGCTTTCTGGGCTGTGAGGGCACATTGCTGGCTCATATCCAGCTTCTCACCCACCAGCACCCCTAGATCCTTTTCGGCAAAGCTGTGCTCAATCCCTTCATCCCCCAGCTTGCATGGGTAGTCAATATTACCTTGAACAGAGTACAAGACCTTGCACTTGGATTTATTATACCTCATGAGGTTTACCTGGGCCCACTGCTCAAGCCTGTCTAGGTCTCTCAGAATGGCATCCTATCCCTCTCGTGTATCGACTGCATCCCACAGCTTGGTGCCAACTGCAAACTTGCTGTCAATGTCACTGATGAAGATATTAAAGAGTATTGGACGCAGCACTGACCCCAGGGAACACCACACATCACTGATCTTCATCCAGACACTGAGCCATTGATCACCACTCTCTGGACTCAGTCTTGCAGAACTCTTCATCCATAGAACAGTCCTCCCAGCAAACCCATGTATTTCCAATTTGGAGAGAAGGATTTTGTGGAGTACCGTGTCAAAGGTCTTACAGAAGTCCAGATAGATGACATCAGTGGTTCTTCCCTTGTCCACTGATGCAGTGACAACATCATAGAAGGCCACTACGTTGGTCAAGCAGGATTTGTCCTTGGGGAAGCCATGCTGATACTCCCATATCACCTCCATGTCTTCCATGTGCCTTAACATAGCAACCAGGAAGATCTGCTTTACAATCTTTCTCAGCACAGATGAGACTGAGACAGGTCAGTAGTCATTTCTACCCTTCTTAAAAATAAATGTGATGTCTTTTTTCCTTTTTTCCTTTTTTGCCAGGAGGAATTTTATCTGTATGCCACGACTTTTCAAATATCATTGAGCCAATTCCCTTCGGATTCTGGGATGTGTATCATCAGGACTCAATGACTTGTGGATGTTCAGGTTTCTCAGTTAGTTACAAACCTGATTTTCCCTATAGCAGGAGGGATGTCACTTCCCCAGTCATCTACTTCCAAACCAATAATTTGAGGGCTGTGTGATGAGCAATTATCAGAGAAGATTATTGTTACCAGCCTTCCTGTGTCACTCACTAGGGGGACTACGTCCTCCTACTTTTTTTTCTGGACCTATAAAAACCTTTCTTGTTCTTCTTAGCACTCCCTGTGAGGTTTAGTTCAAGTTAGGCCTTGGTTTTCCTGAC